ATTTTTTTTTTCTCTTTACAATGACCTTGACCTTCACTTTCCTATTCAGGCGAGGCCCCTAAAAATACCTACCTGGACACCTATCGCGAGCCGCTTTACAAGGTATGTTTCCCTCATAAGTTGGCGGCATCAGCTAGCAATGGAGTCCGAGATGGAGGCAGTTGACGGCCCGAAACCCTAGGCGCCAATCTTGCTCACTTTCCAAACCGTCAGGTACAGTACAACACCTACCTATCTATCCGTAAATAAGTGATTATCCTCCAAAGTGCATCATGATGTCCAGCTAGCATGCATAAAATATTGTATGCAGCAACCGGGGTTCCACGAAGCACACCGGCCAATCAACTTACATGCAAGCAAAACAGGCGGGGTTGGTAAGCGTGCTCGGACAGGGCATCACCCCCCGTTGTGCCACTAAAATGACACCACATGTTCGTTTCCCCACAAAATTTCACTCAACCTTCATCTTTCCTGCAACAAAACACAAACCTGGGGGATCACCACCAGCGGCATTAGCCTTGCCAGCCCGATTGTTTGGTTCGCTCGTGCTCCGGAGCGCTCTCCAGATCTGAGCGCTTCGCTCCTTCATTCACTCCGCGAGGTATTTTTTTTTCTTTGGTAGTTTTCAAATATTTAATCAAATATCCCATCCCCATCCACTCTATTTTCAATCCAACCAATTTTTCCAACGTTGGGCACAAATCATGTCGACCTCACCAACGCCGTCGCGCATGACGTGCCGCCGATGTACTCAATCATTTGACTCGCGCAACAAGTTGATGCGCCATGTTTTCCGCGATCACAGTCCTCCGGGCTCTGCAAAGAGCGCAAACAACCCCTCATCGGGGTTCGCGCCGCGAGGAGGGGGAGGAGCAGGAGCGGGAGGAGGAGGAGGAGGGTCCACCGCGAGGAGCGCCAACGGCACAGCGACGATCACATCCCCACGACAAACAGACTCAATACTACCTGATCGGACGACGTTCTCTAGACAACCAATGAGCACAACAATCCAGAGCCTTGGGAAACCATCACCACCATCGCCACCACTATCACTGCCACAAACATCACCGTTCTCGGCAGCGTCGTCGTCGGTTCACCCCTTTCTGGTTCTCTCGAAACAGCAGCAAATCCTGTTCGTCTTCCACGTCCTTCGTGTCATCTTCACTGTCGTCATGAAACAGCACGAGCAAGCGCAACAACCGCAATCGCAACCACAATCCCAACTGGCACAATCACAATCACATTCACAATCACAATCACAATCACAGTCACAATCACAACCTCAGCCACACTCACAGCCACACTCACAACTACAGCCACAGCCACAGTTCGTCGCGCGGGAACCCTCTCCAGACTTGTCCAGTCCCACTCTTCAGGGATCTTTACCAGACGATCAGCAATGGCATTCCCAGCTCAGTTTCGCCATCAAACCCGCTTCTCCTGACCAGTTTTACCAGGAGGTAGCACCATACCCAAACGTACAAGATTTGTCTGAGGTTCGGAGCAATGGCTATCATGACAATAACGAAGATGACAATCAAGATGATGATGACGATGATGATCACGATGACGATGACGATGATGATAACAATGATGATAATCGCGATAATGACGAAAATGACGACCATGAAGACGCTGATGAAGAGGATCATAGAAACAATGACGAAGAAGAACAAGAAGAAGAAGAAGAAGATGATGATGATGACGATGATGAAGGCGGTGGTGTTTCGCTCTCTAGTCCAGAGTACGAAGATACTGGAGGCTGGCCAGACGGCTTTATCGGTGATAGTAGTTCAGACTCATACGAGCACAGCGATCTCGATCATTAGAAGGATGGGAGTTGGAGGGGAAGGTATTCATGCCGAATATTAATAGAAGCCGGTCAGCCGTCAACAAGACACATAATAGTTTTTCTCCTTTTTCTTGGGCCCCCCCAAAAAATCATAGTTCTATAGAACAACAAGGTACATTTTGAAAACGGACAGAGAATAACCCCAATTATTAAATGGCAAAAGCTCACAGTGTGCTAGTATGAAAATAGGAAGTGCAATATTCGTATATCCTTGGTGATGACTCGACAGAACCGACCCCGGGGAGGGCCGGTTCATTCAATTACCCCGATCGGCATATTCTCCTTCTCGGCGCTAAAGACCATCTTCATGTGAGAGGTAGCATAAGGATTGGACATGGGGATCGTCGGTTTTACGTGAGCATCCTTGGGCCTGGGTCTCGTTACCGACTTGATGACACCAGGATCCCTCGCATCCTCGTTCCTGACCATATCCAACGGTCCCTGTATCTCTTCCCACGCCTTCATGGCATGCGGCTCTATGACAGGTGTCCATACCCCCGTAAGTAACGTCGCCTTGTAATCATCAAAAGTGCGTACGCGTGGCGATCGAGCGGCCAGGATCTCGATGTTGTACCGGAAATAGTACTCCTCGCTGGCGGGGTTTTGCGACGACGCGATGAGGAGCAAGAACCCGACCCAAGTGTCGATACCCGCGGCCTGAAGCGTTCTCCTCAAGAGAGGGTCCCGAAAATGCTGCCTCATCCGAGGCATCACGCCGGGGAGGGGACTACAAGCCGCATGGGCACCATTCCCGACGAAAAAGATGAAAAGGAACAGGCACATGGCCGTGACGTTCTCGGCGGCCGACAAGCTGGCCTCGTTCTCCAGATTCCACCTTATCAGCTCCCCCATCCCGATCGACAAGAGATTCTGCACGTCCAGCGCGTCCCACTGATAGCTTTCGCCCGCAAAGTACCACGACATGGCGTCCTTCATCAGGCAGTCGACGGTCCTCACGTGCCTCACCAACGCCGGATCCATGCCAACCCTTGCGCACGCGTCAGCCATAACCGACACCCCCAAGTAAAACGGCGAACTCGCGGGGTAATTGTACAACCGCCCCAGCAGCCCGCGAGGCAGCAGCTTCGACGCCGCGAACGTCTGGTCCTCGAACCGCATCGCATCGAGCTCGTTCCTGTTCTCCGGCACGTACATGAGGCGACCTCCTCGATCCTTCTCCCCTTCCAGGTCGCCCTTCTGCCGCCTGGGCCAGGGCTTACCAGGCAAACTGAACGCCAACCTGCACGCCAAGCTCGTGCAGACCCACCGAATCACAAACGCCTGCAGGCCCCTCATCTCCCCCAGCCCTTCCAGGCCGCCCCTCAGGGACAGCATCCTCTTCAAGCCCTTCAGGTGGGCCTCGCGCTGGGTCCTGTCGGGCTGCAGGTGCCTCCATGCCGGGTCCGAGGCAGCCAGGCCGGAATCATCGCCGGCGTGCAGGATCAGGTTCTCCTCGATGCAGAGCAACTGAAATACCGTGGCGACGTTTTCGTCCGACAACGCCCTGGATCCGGGGCCGGTCTCGGACAGGGCCGACTGGACCTGGGCGATGGCGCTGACGCGGTGGTGCATGAACCGCTCGAGCAGGACGCGGGATCGGTGGGGCTGGGCGACGGCCAGCTGTAGCGAGGCCAGGCAGAGGAGCGCGTGCAGGAAGCCCGAGTGGGAAAATGATATGGTGACCCAGTACTTTTGCGCCAGGTGGGACTGGTCGCCCGTCAGCGGGGTGAGGGTCGGGTTGATTGCCGTTGTGACTGGGTAGGAGATTTATTATTATTACTCAGACGATAGTGATACGCACTGATGGGAGCGGGTTGGTGGGGGAGGGGGGCGATTGTTTGGCTTCCCGACACGGCATGCCATGGATGTTTGGAACCAGTCAAGGGATTCCATTCAATCACTGTGAGGCCTGTGGCTGTCCCAGATCTCGGGAGTTGTTCCATTTTGGGAAATAAGACACAAAAAAAACTTACAGTACGCCAGCAGGGTTGTATCCCGCTCGTTCATCGACACCGCTAGCGATCCAAACGGATCGAGTCGACCGCTTAGGTGGCGGGCCGTTGAGACGAGATTGGCTCCGGAGCGGCAGGCACAAGCACCAAGGGCGCGTTCGCAGATGGCACACTGCGTTTGCTGCAGGCTCAACTCCAGCCCCTGTTGGTTGTTGGCTGGGACCCTGCTCTTGCCGGTGACTTCCCGCTGCGGGCGTGTGCCATTCATAGTAGGGTCTGAGGCCTGCCCTTCCTCGCAGACAACAGGTTCGACGGCGCCACCGGCGGCCCCTACTCTCCCGCGCCTGGTTTTATTGGCGGCAACGGCTGCGGAGCCGACCTGCTTTCGCTGTTTCTTCAACACGCGGGAGGGTGGGTAGTAGGTGGTGTTGGGTAGAGTGGGTCCTTCAGCAGTTGTTTGGTTTACAACTTCTATTGACCCACGGTCTCCTTCGTCACTTGCCCCAGCACCTCCATCTTTCAACTTCGAGCTCTTGGTCGACCACGGATTCGCAGCTCTCGCCTTCCGGATCACGAATGCGCGACCGCTGGCAGAGATCTTGTGGCCTGCTCGGGACTTGTTGCCCGGATTGACGAAGAGGAACTCGGGCATGATACTAAAGTTGACAAGGATGAAACGACAAACGGTTAGTGATAAATGGAGGTGTGTGTATGGAGATATTGCCAAAATAGGATAATGCTAATGATTGTCGTGGAGTTTTGGGGGGACTCTGTGTGATGGGGAATGCCAAAGGTCGGTGGAGGAGGTTTGGAAGGATGACATGTCAATGTCCCCTAGCTGAGATGTTTGACTATTTGATTGGTCATGAAGCGCCAAGGGGGTTGCTCAGTCAGGGCCATCTCTATCATTTTCCTGTTCGGGGATGGTGTATTCGAAGCTCCCCGGTCGCTCGAATGGGAGGGTTGTTGTTGTCAGCCGCTTGTTGCTGACAGGAGCAGCGATTAGTGAACAACAAGAAGCTGGGCAGCCCTAACCCTGTCCCCTCTTACATGGGAGATTACATAGACAATCGTTTCAATGAATTCAAAAAGAACAATTTTCAACGTTTCACTTTTGGGGAGAAAAAAAAAAAAAAAAAAAAAAGAAGGGAAAATGTAGACAGCCGTTCAAGTTTTTGGGAGGATGAAAAAAAAGATGGGAACTGTGAGGCTCGAACTCACGACCTCAGGATTACTCTGATGTTTAATCAGATCATATTGTTATATGAGACCTGCGCTCTTCCAACTGAGCCAAGCTCCCTGATTACTGAAATTGATTGGTTGCGAATATTTGAAATAAGGTATAAATTTGCAAAATCATTGTGAGTTTTCTGTGCTGAAGTGTGGGGGTTTTGCAAAGGTTTGAAATTACCACGGCCATGAGGAAGCCAAAATTAAAATATTAAAACCTTCCCCATCAACCGAAATCAAGGTGGTACGGGGATTCTCTGCTTTGCTTTATCGCGATGCCAAGAGGGTTGGAGGACTGTGCTCTTGGTGCATGATGATCCTGCGCTTTCCCGGACGCGGGGAGGATTTTGGAACCCCTGTTCAACATCCAAGCATGGGGAGGGGATGTGGGGGATGTGGGGGATGTGGGGGCCCTGTGAATTCACAAACTTTAATATGTAATAATCTCTTGCCGACAACTTTTCCCACTTGGCCATCACCAAGATATCTACCCATCCCGTCCCCGAAAACGTCAAGGCCGCGGCCTTTTATACCAAGCATTGTGTCGAAGGAGATGCAAGTTGCACTCTGACTAATCTTGCAATGATGAGCTGCATTGACAACGCACTCACCGCACCCAAAGTTGCCGGGAAACAGCAGCTCGTCGTCAACACCACGAGACAATATCACGAGATGGGCTTTGGCTGGGTTTACGGCTTCAGTTATTGCGAATTGTGGTTGTTGTCGTGCTCACCTTGCAGCTTCGGTGCAGCTCACTGTTTCGTTTGAGATGCACAGATTTTCCTGACATGGCAACAACCAATTGGAGCCGCAGACAACCCCTGCTCCTTCACAGAGTCGCGTCTTGGTGGCGTCCGCAATGCGCCCTCTGCGCAATACGGAGAATCGGAATGCTGGTGATTCCAGCTTTGACCGACAAGTCATGATTGAAGATATTTTTAAAACTCAACAGCAGCTTCTCTCATTCCAACCTTGGCTCACAACACGCCATTCCCAACTCACTCCCGTCAATCAAGACGACCTTCAATCCCATCGACATGTCGGGCCAGCATCAATTCTCGACCCGAAGCATCCAAGAATTTTTGGACGAAGAAGGGCCACTTCAGCGATTGTTCGTACGGGTATATGCTGAGCCCAAGCAACGGCACCAAAGCTTTCAAGCTGCGTCAGCCGTTCAATCTCGCAAAACAGCTATTTTTCATGCCATCCAAAATATCTTGTTTCCACTGAGGCCTGACCCGAGCCTGCTTCACGGTGCTCATGAAAAAAAAACCAACTTGGCCAAGTTCAGCGCCGGGGATCTTGCCGTTGGGCCAGGACCTCGGTCGGATCAGTGTGACGTCCCCGGGCTCCTTGGCGAGGCGAGAGGTAAACCTTTCGATCTTGACCCGGTGGCTCCAGTCGAGCGTGCCGAATCACTCAGCGTGCAATCCGAGTCCGCCACGGACAGCCATGCGGATTGCCACTTCCATCCAAAAGCTCTGTCGGTTGGATCAGATGTAGTGCGCGACATCAGCCCTCACTCCCCGCCATACCCTGACTCCGATGGCGGGCATCTCGTCTTGCAGCAAACCTGTAAACTCGCGAGTGTGCAACCTACCGGTCCTTGGCAGCATCAGATACCTCTCAGGCAAGGCAGTTTTGTGTGGCAGCGTTGGATCTTACCTGTACGTCAATCTTTACTGCGGCACCATCCAGTCACTGGAGAACAGTCGTCAGGCAACAAGTCGTCAGGCAACAAGTCGTCAGGCAACAAGTCGTCGTACGGTTCGGTTTCTGGCTCTCAACTTGAAGGATCATCCGCATCCCCGAGTCGGCGGGATCAGGCAGGACCCGATGGAAACGGAGATGAAGATGAAGGAACTGGGGATGGCGATACCGGAGGCAGTGGAGATGGGGGAGGAGATCCACAAGGTGGAACATCACCAGGGCGGGCCGCCCCGAAGCTGGCCTGTCCATACTACAAGCGAAACCCTCACATGTATTCGAACACGAAGAGCTGCTGCGCCTCCCGGTGGCCCACAGTTCATAGACTCAAGTAGGTGCTCAATGATTCACTTCCCAAATTGTATTTTCCTCTCGGCTTATTCGGTTATTAGAGGGCACATCTATCGAGTTCACCTCCTCCCGATTTCATGTCAGCGGTGCTGGGCTACTTTCAAGTCAAAGTCGGAGCTTGAAAGGCACCTCCTTCTTGCCGAACGGTGTCAAGCCCGTGTCGGTGTTGTTTTGGAAGGATGCACAAAGGAGCAGGAGGAAGCGCTCAGGAAGAAGACAGTCCAGCCTGGGCGCAGTGAAGAAGCGAAATGGGTCGATGTGTACAAAATCCTCTTCCCCGATGATGATCCTGAATACATACCATCTCCTTGTAAGTTTTCCTGGAGCACATAAAATACTGAGAGAACAAGTAGACAAGGAGGGAGCCGCTGACCTAGCAATCCAGACCATGAAGTGTGGGGAGATGCCCTCGAACAAGAGCTGGCTCAGTGGGAAAGATTCGTGCAGCGCGAGGTTTTGCGTGAAATCCAACAGCCCTTTGAGGATTTCATCTCTCAACTGCCGACGCAATGTCAGCAAAACTACAGAACCACAATGGGAAGGGCCGTGAAGGATGCTCAACGGAAGGTGTTTGAGCAGTACCGTAGGGAGCGCCAGCTACCAAGCGCAGCCGTTGCACTCAGCCTATCATCAGCTGCTGCAATACCCCCCGGAGCACTGGAGGAGTCGGAAAGCACCAGAGGTGACAACTTGAGCAGCCAAGGAAACACCGAGGTCACATCTGAAACCACCACCCTGCCAGCACCGGAATTGGCAGACTTTGACTTCTCAACTCTCTGCGACCAAACTTCGACAGCAAACGAGGAGTTTGTAAAGGATAATTTTGATAATCCGTTGGATCTGGATCGTCGTCCAAACAAAAGGGTCAAATATCAACATGAAGAGGGTGGTCAAGAGGCAATCCGTCCATTCTTTCTCGATGCTGCCGAGGGGCAAGGCGCCGCTGGGTTTTCAAGGGAGAATGAGAGCGAAGGAAACTACCCATTGAGTCCCTCAGACCTTTTCCCTCCGGAAGACGATACGGATCTGTTTGGGGCGACATGGAGCTGATGGGGTATAGGTAGTCTCACCAGACGTGGATTGGAGGGAATAATAATTCACACGTATGTATGTACATACACACACGTAGTAAAGTATGTACATCAGTTAAAGGGTTGCAATTGTAAGGATAATCTAGCCTGTTAGAGGTAAACAGACATGGTTTTGAACCCAATTGTTCGAGTCATGTGCCATTGATTGTTTATCAGTGAGTGTAGGTATGTAGGTGTGTGACCATCGAAACCAACATCCAAGCATTTTAGCACCACAACGATATAACTTAACCCATGCTTGGCATTATCCCGATATCCACATTAGTCGTAGCAAACTGCAGTCAGCAGTCAGACGGCACAGTGTACCGGGGTTGTCGAATTGCCGAGTGGGTGGTAAGAACATTGAGGGGTTCGATAACAAATTGGAGTGATCGGCTTTCTTCCGAACCTGCATGCGCTTGGCAGAACACTATTGAATTGTGTTACATGTGTACTTTAATTATCGAGAACCAAATCAGCCTCCCGCTTTGACACCTCCCGAACAAGTGGAAGTCTGTGAGTCAGAATACCTACCTACCTACCTACCTATCCTGGGGAAAACTTGGCTTTCATATTAATATCACCAAGACTAGTATGGTATTCAACGGTTCGTGACTTATTCGTAGCGATATGTTGAGTGAGAGTTGAAACTACCGGGTAGCCGCATTGCTCGGTGGCTGGCAACGGTACGTAGCAAAGTTCCAGGGGGGTGGGGGGGTCGTATAATTACTTAACATGACAGATGTGAGGTAGTATCAACCCCGACCAAAACCTCCCCGGGAAGGGTTTCAAATCCTCCTCCCCGCTGGGGTGGGGGGTAACTGGCGTACACACGGTGTATTCGACTCCACCTGGCACCACTAGTAGGGAAGATTCCCCCCCTCCCCCCCCCTCCCCCCGTTCAACCGTGCATTCAAACATCGCCCGCTAGGGATGGATTATCGGGATACCTAGCCAGGGCAAAAACCCCGCGCACTAATTATTATGCTTTGCCCCTTTGTCCCAAAAAAAGGAGTTAATCCCAAAATGGTACAACAATTGTGCAGTACAGCGGAGCCTGTGTAGATGTGACGGGCATGCATACCTACCGAGGCGGGGGTTAGTTAAGAAAATATATCAAGGATAGCAATGTCGGCAGAATATGATCTCCCATCGAGTCCTCTCTCCCTCTCATCCGGTTCTCCCTGCTAATTAATAAGTATAAGTTTTGTTCGATTCTCTCGTACCGTTCATGGGAAACCTAGGTAGGTATGGTAGGCACAAAGAAGGTAATCAGCCATGAGTTTTGAATTCCTATCCCTGAACGGCACTCAGGCCGCTCGGGGGTTTGAACCGTCCACGATCCTCGAGGCCGTTCACTCCCACAAGTCCACCATCTTTGTCACTGCTCCGCTCGTCTCTCTGTTCCTGTGGTATTTCATAGCGTGGCAAACATCTCCGCTCAAGAAATATCCCGGACCATTCCTCGCAGGTGAGCGCCCCTCTATTTTTACTTTTATTTATATATATCAAAAAATTTTGCCCCTTTCCAATAGCTGACAGTATCTACCAGGATGGACAAACTGGTGGCGCGTTTGGCAAGTTTACAAGTCGGATTACGCGCCTCTCATCAAGAAGCTGCACGAAAAATACGGTCCTGTCGTCCGAATTGGCCCCAACCTGTTGGACCTTGACATGCCCGAACTCTCCAGAGTCATTTACAGCACCGATGGCAAGTGGTACAAGTCCGACTTTTACAAGATCAGCAGCTCCGTGGTCGACGGCAAGATTGCCTACCACATGTTCAGCGAGACCGACAACGTCGAGCATGCGAGACTTAAACGCCCTGTCGTGCGGCACTACTCGGTCCCCAGCGTGCTGGCCATGGAGCCTCTGATGGACATGGCCATTGGCGACTTCCTTGAACATCTCCGGACGCGCTATGTCCAGCCCCAAAAGGTCT